CCTCTCCGCTCGCACGCGGATTTCCTTAGAAATGAATTCTTGCTCTCGACATTTGACAGTAAAATAACGCCATATGAAAAACGCTGTTAAAAGTGGATTGAACCAAGTACCAAAACACACTTGTAGCCAGTCAGCAGCAGGGGACATATACACTCATTAAAGCGTGTTCGTGAATTTGGGGGCGCAGCTATGAAGATATGGTTGTGATCCTTTTGGGTTGGGGAGTGTTTGTTTTGGTGATTTGAAATATCAACATCATATCTAAGAAATCACATACTGCACCTTTAAATCAGTTGTTCCCAAATTGGGAGATAAAAACACTTGATTAGAACTGTGCTACCTTCCAAATTTGAAGTCTACAACAATATGGACCAAGTACCAAAATCCATTTAATGTTTAAATTATTGATGCGTAACCTTGACCTTACTATACTTTTACCACACATAATTTACTCTGGTTTCAATTTCTCTTAGGCACATAGACGGAAAACACAAACTTGTGAAATGGAGGATGGTGTTCCATGGCTGTGTGGATGGTTTCAGTCGTACCATCATCTACCTTGCTTGTCTAGACAACAACAGAGCCTCTAGTGTTTTGTCACTATTCATTGCTGGTGTTCAGAACTTCGGAATGCCATCTAGGGTGAGGTGTGATCATGGACTTGAAAACACTGGTGTTGCCCGTTTCATGCTTTACAGGAGAGGATTAAACAGACATAGTGTTATTACTGGCAGGTCTGTGCATAATCAAAGAATTGAGAGGTTATGGGCAGAGCTAAATCGAGTAGTGTCATTTCAGTTTGTTAATCTTTTCAACTTTATGGAGGAGCATGGTGTGTTAGATTCACTTAATGAGCTCCATTTATTTTGTCTTCATTATATATATTTACCACAAATTCAAAGAAGTGCCACTGAATTTCAGAACCAGTGGAATAACCATGGTCTATCAACACAAGGGGGGCAAACACCTCTTCAGCTGTGGCAAAGGGGCATAGTCAACAATGCAGGAATACATAACCCAAGTATGAATGGTATTTATGACACAGGCAGTGGTTTTGGTATTGATGACAACATATCACTCTCAGACTTACGGACAAATAATAATGTTGTTGTTCCATCAATTAAAATTACCCTCAGTGACACAACAATTCATACACTTCAGCAGACATTTGATCCATTTGAAGATGATGGAAATCATGGTATAGATTTGTTTTGCAACCTTGTGCGATTTCTAGAAGTAAGGTATTCCTAAAATAATTTACTATACAAAAAGGGAACCAAAAACCCCTCTCTACAGATATTTATGATTTGACAAATAGACTGAGCACATTAAACAGAAAAGAATATTTACTTACCGTAGTTGTGTAATGCACAGAAAAATTAACACATTGCCATGCTTTGTGATAGCTTTAAAAAACTTATTGTAATAGCTTTAAGTTTATAGTTTCAGTTTTTTTTTCTGTATGGGATAAGACCTTTATCAATGTGATTCTGTGAGCTGAAAGCTCTGTTTACATTTCACATCCATATGTCTTTAAATGTTCTTAAAAAAATAAAAAATAACTTGATAAAAAAGTAATGAAACTGTGAAACCATTTTATTAAAGTGTTTGGCTATGGAGCAAACAAATTCACTGAACTACTATTTATTTTAACATTTGATGTCCTTTGTTGAATAGGATAACTAACTAACAACATCGACATTAATACTACAACAGTAGAATCTGCAGGAGACATGCATTGCACATACATTGACCCACATTAAAAAACACCTTTTAAGCAGTATATGACAAGTTTAAATCTTGATTAAAACAAACTTAAGACTTGTTTACTTTACAATTCAGAGGGGTCTAAACAACTTGTACATTTTATTAGCCTTAGAATCTTTCTGTTACGACAAAGATACATTTGTAATAAAGATTAGCTTATTGGAGAAGTTTGAGAATTATTAGACTGATAAAGGCTCTTCTTCAAAAAGATAAAGTAAAACATCAAAAGTTGATCAAGAGACATGGTGAACAACACAGTGCAACATTGTCGTCAGTGAACTTTACAGATTTTTTCAGAAATGTACAGCACCTGTAAATTATGTTAGTTGTCAAGATTACTGGCAAAAAATGTTTTGCCTTTACTGAACTCTCTGAAACTGTACTTAAGATGTTACCATTTTACTGTTTTTAAACGAATTGAATTTTTCAACAAAGTGCAATATCCACCCGCGAAACATGAGTCAAGAACTGTTTTGAAATCATTATCTGACATTTATCTGTGTGAACTTAATATTTAAACATAATACTGAGATGGAGTACTGTCCATTAATTATTTTATGCCAAAACCATGGGTATTGCCCAATGCAAAGTCCATGTTTTCCTGAAAGCCTCTGTAGGTGGTGTGCAGTGGTAATTTTAAACAATTGATGCAGGTGTTTGCAATGGGCAGTTTAGAGGTGCTTTCTGCATCATGCTCTTGGTGAAGAAATTCAATCGAAGGTTGTGGAGAGAAGCCAGTTGGTGGAACAGTATTGGCTCCAGTGGCAAAGGCAAGAATTGTTTCCAGCTTCTGTGTTCCTTCTTGATCTAGAGAAAAAGCAACATCAGAAATTCAGATTTAAAAAAATAATAATAATAAATGCATGCATCACTACTCTTAGTCCCCGTAGACAATAATATTATCCCTTAAAACTAATCTTTGATTACCAAAATTACATATTTAACCATTTTTTCCTGTGAAAAAAAAAATTATTCATGCTTTAAAATAGCTTGAATGTAACTCTACACCTTTGCTTCATTGAATATAAGCAGATCAATGAATATGCAAAGTAGCCCCGCCTCCATTTGCTCATTACAGCTCAGAGGTCCACTCAGTCAACTTACTGAGGTAAACACTGCACAAAGGTATCGCGATCTCAAACTGCTTTATTAAAAGTGTCTTTAGATCATTGCAGTTTTAAAGAGAAGATACTCAGCAATGGTGTTGACATGAATTTGCACATGGTTTGTCTTAAAGCAAATTAAAAACACCACACAGACATAAACAACATTTAAAAACTTGATTTTCATCACAGGGGGTCTTTAACTAATATACAAATGTCAAGATGCAGTGCATTATCAATTTCAAGTGAGAAGACATTTCGGTGTATGCAAGAAATGCTTAAAACTTTTACCTTCTGCATCTGTAAGGTAGTCTCTCCAGAAAGGAACAACAACTTCTTCAGTACGCCTTCTATTGCTGCCAACTGGAGATAGGCAAATGGTAAAGAGGCTATCAACCAGATCAGCTGTGAGGGTTGTAGGAGACCAGCATAGAAGGGGGCGAAAACTTTCCGGGTGAGCTTGTATTTTGTCCAGCACACCAAGTGTTCTCAGTCCATCCCGAAATCTTAGTAAAAATCACAGTTAAAGTTGACTCAGTTAAAGTGTTTTTATTGGTTACTTAAGTTAACAAAAAAACTTTGTTTTTATGTCTTCATGTGGCATATATTTATTATAACTATAAACCCTATAACCCTATTAGACTATGCTATCTACTGTACATCAGGTTAGTTACAACAGTAAAGTATGCATGTCAAATTCATATTTTCTAGTCACACCCATGAACACTTTGCTAATTCGTGTGCATAGTCTAGGACATTAAATACTTTAACAGAAATGGTCCACAGAAAACCTTGAACACAGTCTGCATGGATTTCAGATTCTTATTGTAGAAGCAAAAAACTGAGGATACCTCTCAAAAGGACCACGCACTCTGTGTATCACTTGGAACATCAGGATGTCATCTACAAGCTGATTCTTGTCTTCCAGCCTCCGCAGCGGCCTCAGGCAGCCAGCAGTGGCCAAATACTCCTCAAGTGGCTCAGTTGATGCTAGCAGCTCTTCAAAGGATTTACTCTCAGTGATCTACCTATAGATGTAATAAACAACAAAAGTTTAAAGTGCCCTAATTAAATGTCTAGTGTAGAAATAGACACATAAACCACAACATATTGTAAAACTAGAAAAAATATTACCCTTTTAATTTTTTCATGAGGTCTCTATCCGCAATATCTTCTAAAACTGGCTTAGCCAATTCTGGGCCATCAACAAGGGAAGAGAACAGAGTTGGGGACAGAAAGCCTGGCGGAGGACCGCCGTGTACAAGGCTAACTGCAATGACCCTGCCTGCAATGAAGTACCTGTCCTCTCTCATGGCTAGTGAAAATGAAAATATTATATATATGTGACCGTGCATGCATACAAAGACTTGACGTATACCAGTACCATCATATAAAATATAGTAATTTTTAATGTAATAAATAATCAATGCTATGAGATTACAATCAATGCATACCAGTACTGTCAAAGGCCAAGTTAATTTTATCTTCGTCTCCCTCAAACATTGGAGATTGCAGCAAAGCCTCTATTAGAAGTCTTAGAAATTCTCTTCTTGGTCCACCTAAGTCCACAGCCTCCTCAGGTACGCCCATATCATCAGAAAACCTGACAGAAATAGTGTGACATGGATCCTATGTTCCTCGTTTAAAACCTCTGATGGCTCCATCCAGGACTGTGGATCGGTTAATATTAAACTTGCATTTCTTCTGATGGTTTATTTTTGTAGCAAGATCTTGCAAAATATCTTTCGCTGGCACTGGACATCCTGTGGCCTTTCTAAAACAAACAAGAATAATATATGTTACAATGCTTGCTACTTTTAAGAGAGTGGTATTATGTTTTGTTCAAGCTCATTGACAATTTTGAACAATCTGCACAACATCTGTTGACATTAATGGGCAATATACACATCATATGCATATAAATGAGTAGGTAAGGCACCCCTTCACTACATTCAATACAGAGCTGTAAACCAATCAAAAATCAGAAAAATAAGCAATAACATCAAAACTGCATCTTTGATATTGACTACCGTAAAACATTTGCATTTTGACTAACCTTTCACTCTGCAGGCTTGCTAGTATGGCCTGATTCAATTCTGATTCAAATTAAATTCATCATCAGAAGACATGTCAGACAGTGCAGACATTACTGAAAGGTAGTTATCATAGTTCCCTGATTGATGGTGTGTTGAGGTAGAGGCTAATGTGGAACTGCTGCTCTGGTTAGGTGAGCTTGAGAAACTTTGGCCAGTGAGATCCACCAGAGGCGGATTAACTGAAACAGTTGAGTTGAGGTAGAAGGCTGACTGGTGGAAGGGCAGATTGCCAGTGAGCGCACTGGCAGTTGACTAGACAAAGTGCTTGCCGAATTGCTGCTGTGGTTGGGTGAGTTACTTCTTTGATTGGTCAAGGCAGGAGTTTGAGAGAATAATGCTCCAGACACATGTGACGAGGCAAAAGTTTGAACTTCAAGAGTACAGTTCGGTGGGGAGCCAGAGGAGGCAGCCATTAGACTGGTGAAACTGTCTGAGTGTCTATTTTGTGTTAAAGATGAGGAGCGCAGCTGCCTTGCTGAACCACTGTTTTCCTCACAGTTGCTCTCTTCACTGCAATAGCTTGTAATATCATCCTTGGAAATACATAAAAAAAACTTCTTCAGATATGCTCAATTTCAACAGTAATCTGAACAGTAACTGGAACCACTAGGATTTCTGATTATATTTTTAACAATTACTTTTGCTGTCCCTTTCTATTCTAAGATCTCAGTTAGTTCAATTTCCTTTATTTTAATTAACAGGCATTGTAACTCTGCTCTAGTCTATTTGAGTAAAACAAATTCCATAGTTCCTCAACATGTTCATAGCTACAAAGCAGAAATTAAATAATAACAAGAACTGAGATTACACAGCTCAGAGAAAACTAAAAATATTGAATCTGCATGCATGTTTATAAACCAATTAAAGGTTATTGTTATTACAATGCTCTGCAGGTCAATTCAAATGTGATGTAACCTACCAAAATTGGCTTTGATGGTCTAATGTACAGGGCTTTTGATTTATATACTTTGTGTATGAGACTCGCATCCAGCTCCTGTCCAGCGCGCAGTTTGGGTGAAATCAATTTGTGGCCACATGCCATCAGAAACTCTATGCTGAAAAACAGTGGTTAAAATTTAATTAAACTTTCACCACTGGAAATGACATAACCTTTAAATTCTTAATAATAAAATAATTATATCACAGTGTCACAATATAATAAAGTACATGTTGTTACCTCACATTAGCAGAGAGCTTTTCTCCAAAGGCATCCCTTATTTGTTCAGTGACAGTCCTGTGGTGCCAGGATTTCTGGAATTCAAATCCATTCAATATATGTCCTTGTTCATGTAACTGTTGCTTTATGCGATGCTTGACAACGACACTGCTTGATGGCGTTGGAAGAAGGATGACATCTTTGTTGAAAGTATCGTGAAAATGTGTTTTGGCCCTAGAAAACAAAGCCGATATTATATTTGGTATTTATTTATCCATTATTGCAATCATGAATCAAGTTCATCAAACCATAAAACACGACAATTTAGGATGATGTATGTAATTTTTATATTCCTACCACAGCTCTTTTAAAAAAGTTGGAAATCATTCATTTCATTATTATGGAAGCATATACTGTAGGTGGCGATATTCAATTTAAAATGCAATATGCAAAATGGCAATGCAATATGCAAAATGGCAATGTATTTCTGTATTTAAATTTACATTTTCCATTACCCATACGTGCAAAGTTTGTTGCAAAAGGAAAATGAAAATTAAATTATATAATTTACATTTGCCATTTCCAACTGTAGTCTTAATATGTAAATTGCATGCAAATTTGAACGCTTTATAAGTTGCGAAATGAAAATGAAAATGTATAACACAAATTGATTTGATATGTGTAACATGTTCAAGCAGAAATGGTAA